ATCCCACACAGATATCATTTCCTTACTCTTAGGAAAGAGTAGATAAAAGTGTTTTAAGTAATTAGAATATCTCAGCTGGTGCAAATGAGTTGGACTTTTGGAAAACTATAATGGATATGTTGCTTCACAGAAGCTTTTCATTGAAGTACACATTACAAAATTGACATCAGTGGGGAAAAGTGTTGTTAATAGAAGACTTTATTTAATGTCTCATGATTATGTAAGTCCAAAGATTCAAAACAGTTTTGAAGCCATTTACATGCCATGGAATCTGTCTTGTGATGAGAGCTGAGGACTGAACTGAGAAAAAGGTTTTGGATTGAAATTTCAAGAAAACTAAATTTTTTAGGACGCCAAAACCTTACGTTATTCATTAAAAATACAAGTTGGGATCTGAGATCCCAGTCATTTCAAGAATGTATGTGAGTGTTTTGTGATATATTTAGTACAGTGAGGATGCTATAAATTAACAATATGCCATCATGCTTTGGGTCTTGAGAGACTGTTGTATGTCTTGTCCACCTAATTATTGGGGTTTCTGAAACTATGTACTTCGTGTTGTGGAGTAGCTCTGAAGGGAGGTAGAATGGGTACACAAGTTCTGTAGATACAGGGGCTAGGCATTGCAAAAGTAAACAACTCATGTTTTTTCCTAGTAAAGCATTTCTGTTAGAGGTCAACATAAGATGGCATGAATTATAGATGAATTTAAGTTCCCAGAGCGTCTCACACTTAGAGTGCATAGCGTGGCTTGCCACTTGGGAACGTGACTTCTGAGGTTTTATCTGAAGTTATGTTGTGCTGTGAACCGTATAATTGTTTAACAAACAAAGAAAAAGACTCAAAGTGAACAGGGTTTATTTAACTCAGTAGCATGATTTTCATCTGTGTACCATATGTTTTAGCATATTTGAACATTCAAAAAATTGTCAGAAAAACGTGATTGGTTAATTTATTCTTTGCACTGTTTAGGTTTGTTGCCATCTTAAATATACTGGGGGACAAAAATGTTGAAAAAATGCAAAGGCATTAGTGAAGCTTGACTGTTGTTGAAACTTGGAGAGATTTTCTGCATTCCAGAACAGCAGAATCTGTTCACATTTGAAGATGGCACAGATTTACATTCTTTAAATCTTACTTTATTCTGGATGGTAAACTAATGAATATAAGCTACTCAATATAACTCAGTGAAGGCAAGTTATGAGAAGTTATGAGAAGGCCTTGCTTTTGGAAATGGCTGTTACTGTTGTTTCATACTGTATTGTGAAAGAATTCAGATCATTTTTAGTACTGCATCTGGAATTTAATAGAATAAAACAATATGTAATTCTGTAAAGGAGAACTCAATAATGAGTGCACTGAGGTTAGGCAAGCTCCAAGCAAGAGAAGGATTAGCGCTAAATTCCTAAAGGACCCTCATTAGTCAGAAGGACCTTCAAAAATCTGAACAAAATGAAAAAAGAGACTAAACTATATATTTTCTCCTTAAAATCAGTCAGTAGAATCTGATAAAGCGAAGTGTCTGGATGGTAAGGTTACTGAGAATGAGCAGAGGTTCCACTGTCTTTAAGCATGTGGGGAGGAATGGGGGAATGTGTGGGTTAGCAGCTGGTGTTCCTGAAGTGTGACAGTATCTCTGCTTGTCCAGGGTTTGAACAATACTGCAGAGGTCTGAACCATTTAAAAATGAGAACCTGCAAATCAGCTGGGTCAATTTGTTTCAAAATACTCCTGTCCTGCTGCGGCAATATTTCTTTAACTTCTTGAAAGTGTGATGGTTTTTCTGCTAATTCTGAGCACGCCCTGTCCTTCAGCATTTCCCTCCCAGGTCTGGGGAGGAGAGGGGAGAAAGGGATGGCCTCAGGCAAGTTCTGCCTGCAGCCACTCTCCTGCCCAGAAGCCACTGAGCTCTTGCCAGCCCTCCAAGATGGCTTTCCAGCTCCCTGGTGGCCTAAATGCTTGCAGTCAGTGATCCCCAATCTTTGTCCTGCTGTTCCTTCGGAGGAGCTGGGCTGCTGTTGACAGCTGAAATACATCTGCTGGTCATGCCTTATGCTCCTTTGGGGCTGGTGGTCCACAGCACCAGCAGCTCTGCCCTACCAGTGTGATGGTGGTACTGTCAGCCTGTCTGATGTCTACCCTGTGGCATTCACCACCACCTGCGGCTGGCAGGTGACCACTGGGTTCATAAAGCAAAATTACGCCCAAAAAATGACTCTTATGTTCATTCTACTTCCAAGGCAAGGGCACTGTCAAGAGGGACATCAAAGCTTCTAATTCATTACCTGCTTACTGATACTCCAGGGGAAAGTGAAGGAGGAACAAACTTCTATGTTGACATTCCTTACTCCATAGCAAGGTTCCCCTGGAAGTGTTCAAGGCCAGGCTGGATGAGGCTTTGAGCAACCTGGTCTAGTGGAAGGTGTCCCTGCCCATGGCAGGGGGGTTGGAACCAGATGATCTTTTAGGTCCTTTCCAACCCAAACCATTCTGTGATTCCATGATTTCTGCCCAGTCTAAGAGGGAAAGTACATCTGGGTTGGTTTGTTCCCCCTCTAACATTTCACTAGTCAGTTACTGTGTTACATAGATACAAAGCGTGTATGTAGGAACAGAAATAATGTGGTGGACGGAAATAAATCTATAAAGTTCATGAAGCTGATAAGACTCCGCTGTGCTGGTGGAAATGAATTCACCGTGATACTTGATATGTGCTGTAAAGAAGATGGAAAATGGGCTTAATCCTTGATGGGCATCACACACTAGTTCCTCTGCAGGAGTGTGAATACGGTCTATTTTGCATGAGGTTTGCCGTTGGTAGGCTACGGTCCTTAGCTACAAAACGCTGCACCTTCTTACTGTTACCTTAGTGATGGGCTTGTACTTCCAAATCTAGCAGCTGCAGTTCCCAATATAGTCTGTCCATATGATGTTGCCTTGTACCGTGGCTTTTTTACAGTGTTTAACAACCACCCTGACGTGTCTGAACGTTCATGGAGGAGAGGAAGAAGGCAGAGAAAAGGGGAGAAGGGTGCTGCGTGTTTAGTGCATATCTGTGCCTGCCTGCGTGTGTCCTGAACAAAAATGCTCGGAGTGTGGGACCAGCTTATAAAAACCAATGCTTCTAAATTTCTCCCTGCAAAAGCTGAGGCTGGAATGGCAATATTTTGCTAGTCAGCTAAGTTCACCTATTTTACAGCTCTTTGTTGCATTAGAAAGATGAGGGATTTGTAAAGTCCCAGCGTAGGTGTATAGACGTACTTAATACATGGTGTCAAAATGGTCCAAGTGCTGTGCTGCTAAATGGTGTGCTTGATGAATGATTCTGCTGGGGGGTAGCGTAAGGCCATGACATTGATCAACGTCTGTTCCTGCAGAAACTTAACAGAGGGAGAGCAGATCACATTAAAGAGGATTGGAATGAAGGAGATGGGAATAATTTAGAATTTGAATTGTGAAATCCCTTTTACAATTAAGGAGGGTTTGTGCTGAAAGTCACATTATCCTTTTGCAGGTCTTCTGCTTCCTGGGGGAATTTAACTGTAAGGATGAGACAACGAGGTGTTCTCTAGCAGCATTCAGTCATGGAATTATATTAAATCATCAGAGTGCCAAAAAGCTTTTTAGTGTCATGCTCAATTATAATTAGAGGTGATTAAGAAACTTAAATATGTCACATCCTGAAGAAAAAGTAATGCTAAAAGTAGGAATGGCAGCCCAGACAAATTCCTGGTTTAAAAATTCATGCTAGAATTTATGTCAGTTGGCCAATCAAAAATTTATATTAAAATACTGGAAAGACACACAACTGCTGGTGGTGCTTCATTTTTTAGAATGTAGAGATTTCTGTAATGAGTTTGTTAGGCACTTAGCATTGCAAAAGCAGTGGGAATTAGATATGGAAGAATACTTAAGAGATTGTTTCAAATGACCAAAGCTGACAGTTATGCGAAATGTGTGTAAAAGTTTTTTTCTTTTTCTAGAGACTTAATACCTATAGTTGCTGCTCTGGAGTATAATCAGTGGTTTACAAAGCTGTCCTCCAAGGATCTGAAATTAGTAAGTAATAAATTGAAACAGTGTACCTGCTCCTACCAGGCTGTGCTGTGTTTTAGAGGTTGCTATTAGATTTTTCAAGGTGAACTTTTTCAGGAAAGTGCAACTGGGCAATCTGTTGAATTTTATTTTATTTTTTCCCCTTAATCATATCAGGAAAATATAAACTGTTGGATAGTTAATTCATGCCATAGAAACACTGCTGAAAGTCAGGTCTTATCAAAAATTTAAGTGAATAAAGTTTCAAAACTTTGATGGGCAATAACAGTAGCCTGTAAAACTACTTCATGAGGTGTTGCTAGCTCCTCAAACAATGTTGGGTGATTAAACAGGAAACAAACTCTAAAGCAGCAAGAAATCTCAGTTGCTTTTTGGAAGTGGAAAGAAAATATCAGGATTCTCACATATAAAGAAGGGTTTTTCTCTGAATTTTCATTGCAACTTGATGAATGTCTGAAGCCAACCCCTGGGTAGTAATAAATATGTAGTGATGTGTGACACTGATATTATTCCACATCATTTTTTCTTCGGAAAAGCAGAAAGGGGGCAAATTTAAGCGAGTTGGGCTCCTGAAGAAAAGGCCAAGAAAATCAGTAATTAGATGACTTTTTAAATATATCAGAATATACTAATTCTTCTAAACTTGACAATGTATAGTCCCAGGTGGAGTTAGTGGTTTGAGAAATTGCTTTCACACTCACATCCAGAAGCTTATGTCCTTAAAAATGTTGAGTCTCATCTTGTTTAAATTGATGCGGTGTTGTTCATCTGAAAATGCTCTCATTGCATTCCTAAGCTATCATTTTCGATGAAGATTGAGTAGAAACTGGCTTATGTGATACTTGGAAGAAGAGTAGGCAAAAAAACCTTTTCTTTCTTGCTGGGACATCTTACTCGAAATTATGCACACACTAAAACTGGAGGTATTTTTAATCCTGTTGTAGGTTGCTGTTACAATCACCCTTGTTAAAAGCTACAATGCAGTTAAGCAGTTTCTGCTTCAGTGAAATGAGATAGTTTGCTTAGTTGGAAGACTGGCTGGTGTAGTTTGCTTAGAACAAGAACTGGCCGTATTATCTACCTGAGATATTTCTACATGATATTTTTTGGAATTCTTAGCAATGTTTCTGTGGGAAACAAATAAACTTTGTCAACCTTAAAAAAACCCACAAACAAACAAAATTCTTACGCTCATTCCATTTTTAGTCAAAACTATCAGGAAAACATAAATTGTTGGACAGTAAATCTGTGCCATAGGAACTCTGCCGAGGGTCAGTATGAGGTCAGACATATCCAGAGGCCATTGAATGCTTTGTACTTCATGAATCCCACTCTGACATTGTGTTTGATTGATGGAATCCATAGTGTTTTTATAGTATGTGCATGAAATTTTCCACTTGCCATCACACTGTTGTGGAGGCATTTGTGATAATATTCTGAATTATTGAAATATGGAAGGCAAAGATAGAATAGGGGAGATGCCTGAGTTGAGTGTCTTCAGAAAAAAATGTCACCTTTATTATGTAAAGGTTTGATAAGATTTTGTTTGTGGTAGATCAGGGTTTTTTTTGTTTTTACGAGACTCAATTAGTTTATAATTTAAAAAATCCTAGAAAACATCAGACTGTCATTAGAGACACAGATGTCCCAGGTATGAATGTCACATTGTTTTTAAAGGTGGATAACAGAATAGTTTCAGCACTTTGTGATCATAACTGAAACTCAGCTTTGGACTTTGCGTGAATGTTGGTTAGTGCGTGCTGTGGGGAAAAACAACAAAAGGCAAATCCAGAAGGCAAAATAAAAGATTATAATAAAAGGTGATGAGGTGCAGAGTTCACTGTATGGCTTTTGAATCATTAAGGTTTTATCTCTCTTATCTGAATGAGCACAGCAAACAAACTCTTTTGTTTCCGTGTTTTGTTCATGTTACTTGCAAATGTCCATGCAAATTCTAGAATCCAACAACAGTAAGATCATGAGATGAGATTTACATCTGTGTAGGTTGGTTGGGAGAATTCATACTGAAACACACTGACCCTTAAGCACTAGTCTTTAGTCTTTGGAGGATCTGTAGCTAGAGTGCTTTTGCTCTTGAGGTTTTCTTATCTGCCTTATAACATCTTTTTCTGTGTTACTTGTCATTCCTGGTCAGGCTTAGTTCTGCTTTGCACTGGTTACCACTTTCTTCTGAAGGATTAGCATGCATATTAACAAGACTTCTTTAAAAATTAAGTGAGCATTTTTTCTGAGTCACAGGGTTTGGGTTTTTCATTATATTATTTTTCTTTTTTTTATAATTGTAAAAATTCTGCCCCCTATGATTACGTGGCCTGCTTCATAAATGACTCACTTCTAGTCTGCCTCTCACTTCCCTGAGTCTTTTCCAGCAGTCCTCTTGTCAACATCTGACTCTCTCTGGGATGTTCCTGGCATTCTCACTTGCTATCTGTGTATGACAAAAAGCTGATCACAGCCTGGATCCCATTATGATGTAGTGCTTATAACTCAGTAACCGTCTGTTCCACGTTTGTGTTCTTTAACACTGTTTTGTCTTTTTTGTGGCAGTCCACTGATGTCTGTGAGCAGATACTGCGAGTGGTGAGTAGGTCCAATCGATTGGAAGAACTGGTATTAGAGAATGCCGGGCTTAGAACGTAAGTAGTTCCTTTGAAATGTTGCATTAGTGACTGCTTACTCACAGCAAAAAGGATGTGTGATGTGTGCTAGCCAGAATAAGCATTAAAGAAACCTCGTGCTCTATGTCCATCTTGTTCTGAGGAGCCTGTAGTCACAAACTTGTCCTCAGGTTTTTCAGATTGTTCTGTATGTCCAAGAAATCCCTTTAAACTGATGGTTTCTAAGGTTCTGCCTGGAGACTTGGGTTGAGCAAAATGGATCGGATAAGGGCATAAAACCCTGTACCAACTCACAGTGTTCCTCTCCAAATATGGTTGCCAGTAGAAGCACGAACACCTTTTAATCATTTAAAACCCAGTGTTTGAGATTTTGTAGAAAAGTAGTGTATTATTCCATCTTGCATAACAGATTATTGTTTCATTCCCAAGAAGAGCTGGTTTTATCTCTACTGTGAATTGCAGTCTGCTCAGATATAACAGGACATCTACATTAGCAACTTTTAAAAAGAAGCAAGAAAGTAGATAATTCAGTTTGATGCCTTGCCATAGCCTTAAAAGAAAGGTATATAGAGATAAGCTATACAATTTAATCCTTTCATATGTTTTACGTACAGTAAGTTGTAGTTACTAGGTATTTGCTTTTTTTTTTTTTCTTTTTTTCCCATTCACAGGAAATAGAGGCAAAATTGAAGTTACAAATTAGCCCAGTTGGAAGTAATTGTTACTTGGTTTAGTGTTAGGGTAGTGTCCAAGAACACGTAGACCAGATAAACTGTAGTGCTGATGAGCTATTATGTTAATTAAAAACAACAACAAAAAAACCCCAAACAAACAAAAAAACCCCAACCAATGGAAAGGTGGGAGAATCAGAACACTATTCAGATTTACAAGTAAGGAAGGGAAACAAGCACAGGGAAAATACTTGGAGTGCTTTACATTGTCTCCTCTTCCATTGTTTGGGTCTTTTCCCCTTTTTAAAATGGGTTTTGCACTGAAATACCTTTAAAAGAAAATTATCTAAATGACATAGGAAACTTGATGTGGGGTTTGGAATTACACCCAAACTTTCTGATCACCAGTGCACTGCCTTTAATAGCTGTCATTCAAACATAAGCACCTGATTTTTATATTATTTTCTTGCAATATGTGCCATGAAATCCAGTGATTATCATTAATATGAAAAATACATTGACTATGTTTGCACAATGCCTACCTTAACTTACCATGGCTGGATTAACTGTTCTCAGTTTTAACAGGACTTGACAGCTAATCAACCTGTGACTCTGGTTTTCATGTTTCCATCTACATGCAGAGTGTTTGGCATTTTGCCTTGGTGTGTATCTGCTCTGATCAGCATTGTCTGTCTGTTTTTGTCAAGGACACATTTGTCAATCTTGCCAGTTATCATATCTGCTTGCCAGGAGGAAATCCTGTTGTTATGGGGTATCTTCCTTCACACAGCTTACAGACCAGTCATTTCTAATGAGCTGTGACAGAATGCCAAACCAGGGTTAAGAAAGAGCTACCGTGAACAATGCTTTGAGAAATAACCTGGGCAGCTGCAAGAGCGTATTTCTTCCTGCAGCAGAGACAGTTTAAGATGATTCCGTTCTTTTCTATCTCCAGCCCCTCATATCTGTGATTTGGTTTGGGCCATGACCCCAAAACCACTTGTCATCCTCCCAGCTGATGAGACACCAAACTATTATGCAGTAGTAGTTGTAAGGACCCAGGTCTAAGGAAGGACTTGGCTGTGGGGAAAACGGGATGTCAAGTGAAAACCCTGTTTTTGATAAGATTTGTGCCAGTTTAGATGTTCTTTGAAAATTTTATCCCCATTGCTATTTCTTTAACAGTTGTAAAGGGTGCAGTCTAGATTATGTTGGGTGTTTATCATTCATACAACAGACACTAATGTTTTGGTGTGTTAAATGAAGTAGGTGATATCCAAATTTCAGGGAAAGGAGACTCATTCAGGGTGACCTGAACAAATGAGCTTGAGAAGAGAGTTACATCCCTGAGGGGTTTTAGAGAAGTGGGACAATGTGTGATAACCACAATATTCATTTCCATGAAACTACAAGACTTTTCAGTCTGCAAAGGGAAGTTTGAAGGAGCTGCTGAAAATCATCTATCTATTGAGCTTGCTTACTCTCTGAAAGATGGCAGGCAGAATGTCCTTACCGCCCTCCGCCCCATCCTTTGCAGCCCTGTTCCGAAAGGAGTAGTCAGGTATGGCAGAGGGGAACAGCAGATGTCCCTGCCACTGGTCCCTAGAGCATCCCATCTTCACCTGCAGGGGGGGCTCTGAATGCCTTTAGACCTAACAGTGTCAGTTCCTTCCACACATATCCCCTTTTTTACTGTTACAGGGATATTGTCTAGACAGACCTTGAGGAATTTTTTTGGTTTTCATTTCCAGCTCTGTGGTATTTTTACTCTTGGTGATAATTGAGTCCTTTTTTTTTTTTTGGGCTTTACCTCCAAACCTGAATGTACTCCACTGGGGCAAGCATGGCCGTGCACTGCAAAGAGAACATGTTTGATGCTTTATAGGAAGTGTAAGGCTTACATTGCATGCACTGTTCACGAAGTGTGCAGCAAAACAAAAAAAAATAATAAATTTTAGGACTTGAAGCAAAGAGTAGACAAAGGAGAGGAAGGAATGTTGCCCAGTAAGTAGCGCCCAGGTGCCTCTGTTTATGGTAGAGGCTGCACAGGGAATGGGGAGGTTGTATTATTTTTATCCGAAATGAGCCTCGGAGCCCCATGCACCCTATGGAGGTAATCCAATGCTTTCTGGTGCCAGTCGATTCCCTGTGCCTTTGTTAAGTAGCTCACACACCCCCCAGCTGTCCAAAAATTTCTGGTGATCCTGCCTATATTGGTGACAAAAGCTGGAGCAGACTTTATAAACAAGCCTGGAGGTGTAGGCAGAATACTGTAATGACAAGAGCCTGTTAAGGATAAAACAAGAGGAAGAAACTCCCCATGAAGAAGGAGTGTTTTGTTTGGGTTTTGGGGTTTTTGTTTTGGTTTTTGTTTTTTTTACTCAAAACCTCATTTTCCTTGGCTGGACATAAGGAGCTTGATTCAGTTGCCTAAGCACAGACATCTAGTGCCATTTGAAACGCTGGAGGGTATCTGCAGAGTGTTGGCAAATGTAACCAAGGATCTACAGGAGATACGTAATCTTCTGCAGCAGCATCTGGTAGCAAAACAGGATACCCTGAGGCCTGTCAGGTGGCAGAGATTCAAGCCCAGAATTTCTTTTCGTTGAGCGTTTGTATTCACATGCTGCTTGTATTTTAGGAAAAGAATACGCTTTTTCCTAAAGGCAGCCCATCATCGTACATTTGCAGTGCTGGAACCTGTTGTCTAGCTCCAGGGGTCTGTCTAAAGACATAGGGTTTCAAAGGGAAACTAAACTTCCCTGGAACATCTCTGTGCTCAAGTATACCTTGCAAAAACAGATAACCCAAAGCTATTGAGGCTGTTGCCTCGACAAGTCTCCATATTTGCCAGAGAAGAGGATGCCACCTCCACTGCAGTTCTCAGCACACAGGCTGATCTACTAGTTTCACAGTAGGCAGGATCTATCCCGAGCTAAGGGGGCAGTGTTATCACTCTTCTAACAATGTAGCTGGTTATTCCTCACCACTGGCATATGTAAGGTAGGATAATGTACTTCAAGACAGAGAGGGAAGGAAACTGTGTGAAGGAAGCTCAAGGCATTTTTTATTTCTACCTCTGTGTCTAGCCTAGGTGAAATAAGAACATTGAAATGATAGCCTCAGTTTAACAAAAGCACACCGTAGGGCTCGTCCCTTCATACATGAAGCACAGGCTTGATGATTTGTCTTACAGCTGATAACAGCCAACAGCCTTCTGACTTAATGCAAGGAACATGTCTCCATTGTGTAGGAAAACCCAAGGTGGCTTTGAACTTAGTGCTATCGATGGTGGTAGTCCAGCTGCAGCAAAACCCTCTGAGATGGGGCAGTGTTCACTTGCCTCTCAAGTGGGTTTGAAAGAGAGGTAGATCGTGCTGCTACAGCTGCCTGCCGCAGTCGGTTAAAGGTAGCTCAAGGGTCTTTGTGTTACCTGGCCTGGCTGGTGTGAGCATTATAGAATTGATAGAGCACCATCTCTCTTGGGAGATACAGCTAAGACTGTGGTTCAGCCGGTTATGTGCTTTGATGCTGCTCACTGTAGCAAGCAGCAAGCAAAGAACACTCATCAGTGTGCTCTTATTCTTTGAGAGCATTATTCCTGCTCTCTTACAAGGTCAGAAATACTCCGGGTTTGTTGGCCTTCTGGATATGCTGCAAAGCCCATCTGTTTGAGTGACTGTTGGTAGCGAGCTGCTGAAAGTGAGGGGGTCGGCTTGCAAGTAAAGGGGGATGTATACATTCTCACCCATGTGTGGCAAGGAGGTGATGGAAGATGAGCTTGAGTTTTAAGTAACTCTTACTTTATATGTTCAGATCTTTATCAAAACCAGTTTGTGGTTTGACAGAGTTCCCTTCAGTCTCTTAGAGCACCGAATAAATAAATATTAAAATGCCTGCTTTGAAAGATTGCAAATTAGCCAGATAAGCACTATTTAAATCTGTGAAGAATCAGTTTCTGCCCTGCAGTAGGATGTGCCACTTCTGCCTAATAGTCTCTCAACATTTTTGAGCCTCTGAATGTGCTGTTGATACAGATGATAACAGGAGTATCTTCTTTTCTTGCAGGGATTTTGCACAGAAACTAGCCAGTGCCCTAGCCCATAATCCCAACTCAGGCCTCCATACGATTAACCTTGCTAGCAATCCACTTGAAGATAGAGGTACTGTAACATTTATTTTTTTCCCTTTCTACAAATGTAATAGGAGGATTACTGCTGCTCCATTCAGCTTTGCCTGAATAATAGGTTATTGTTCTGTGTGTAATGCTATTGTAAATATCTGTTGTTCGCAAATGACTGAGAATCACTACTCTTTCTGATTTATATGTATCCATTAGTTTGTCGAGAAATGTTTAAATGTCTTCAACCAACCATGGATTTCATTAGATTTCATTACATTTTCATAGAGGTTTCTGTTAAAGGAAGATAGAACACAGTGACTGGTTAGGACCAGAGAGTAAATAAATTGGTGTGCAATTTTAAAGGCATTGTAATCTGTTGAAAGATGAAGCGTGAGGCAAATTTCTTGCTCAGATTATATTTTCCTCATGGTTTTGTGTTTTTATTTTCAACCATAATTCTGTACTGACTCCCAGTGTTGAAACTATTCTGTTTTTTCAGCTTTGTGCTAGTCTGTAGAGTTGCCAGTACTTGGCAATGTTCAGTAATACTGGCGTAAGTGGCATCCTTATGGAGCAAAGTGCCATTGACTCCACAAGATGGAAAATCAAGCTGAACAGCTCAGTTTTCCCCAGACTAGGCTCCGCTAGGCATAATTTCAGTACGTATCAAGTCAAGTCATTCTACTCCCTTGTCTACTCTCTTTTCACCCAAGAGGCATTTATTTTTAAAATAAGGTTACATTCTTTCAGTCTGGAGTTGACCCTTCAGTGCTGCCCATGTGAGATTTCCATTTGCTTCACTTAATTCATTCCAGGCACACAGTGTTCTGGGACCCGACTGTCTTGTGCTCCTGTTGGGCCAGAAGAAAAATAAGAATTTTATACAGCAAACCTTTTTGTGTTTTATTTGGTTTGTTTTGGGGAAATTTTCCAGTCTCTTTGCAGTCATCATTCAAAATGGAAAAACAATTCCTTTTGATGACAATCTGACTGACTTAAAATGTTGTTAACAGAGTTTTGTAGGTGTCTCACTTTTCTTGCTGGTTCAGTGAGGGGGAAAAAAAAAAAAAGCCAACCTGAAGTTTTTTTTCCCTCTTTCCTCTCTTGTATCTCTTCCTATTAACTAGAAACAAGTATGAAAATATTTTTGGTTTTAATCTACTCAGGGTAGGTTTTTTACTTCAATTGTTAACATTAATTGCTTTAACTCCTGATTACACCTTGCCTGCTGATTACTGCTTGGCCTCCTTGAGAATCCATATCACATGAAAGCCGGTGTTTTGCTGAAGAACATTGTTGTTAAAATTCTCTTACAAGGCCAAATGCAAGGTCCTGC